GGGCAAGCCCGGAGGCGGCCTGCTGGCGCCCCCTGCAGGTAGGCACCAGCAGCGCGCCCTGCTCCTACAATCCCTCTGAAGACGCCCTGAACTCAGCGGCGGCTAAAAAGTCGCACTCCCTAAGCCTCCTCCTACGTCCCCTAAAAACCACGAGCACAGCTTCCCAGAATAACCACCTCAGCTGTGATGGGAGGAAAGGAGCGGCGCCGTCCAGTGTGGTCCGTGGACCCCCGTAGCCGAATCCCTTTGGATGCTGGTAAAAATGCGTTCTACTGGCCCGGCCTCTCTGGGAGTGGGACTCCAATACACTACATTCTTAACACGCACTGCAGGTTAGGCGTAGTCAAGATGATGACCCAGGCTTAGGGCCACAGGCTGGAGAGAGGTTAGGGGCGTCGGGGGTGGGGGAATCTCTGCTACCTCGGGGGGGGGGGCGGCCGGATGCCCTATGGGGCATAGGTCTCTGAGTCACACCTTGCCAAAACTGCTCCCGGGTACCTGTGAGTCTCACCCACTTACGACCCCTGCCACATGCGGGGAGGGGACTCCCCCTGGTCCTTCGTCCTCACCCCATCCACTTTCTTAAATCCCTTAGAAACCCTGGCTTGTGCTGAACATTGCTCCCCCAACACCCAGCCCTGGGACCTGGAACCCCGGGTCCCCCCCGCCCCCCGCCCTCGCTGCTGAGAGGCTCGAGGGGGCTGGGCATCAGGAAGGGACACGAAAGCCCCAGAGGACCAGACGGAGCAGGACAGAGGCACCTTGGTTTCCACCGTCACCATTCGTAACATTTTCAATATACTCTAATCTCTGAGCAGAAAAGTCAAGCTAGAGCCTATTCCGACCTGAATTCATTACCTGACCATAAGCCCCGGAATAACTATCAGGAGGTGGCACTTTGTGCAAACCCCTAAAATTCACATTTCTCTGGTCCAGCTTGCAACTCTTCCTCGCCATTTTTTGGGGGGGGGGTCTATGTGTGTTTTCTGCTTCCACGGTCTTCGGAGTTTTGCATCAGCTCGTGACGTGGGACAGTCGTGTAGTCAGGCCAGTGGCCACCCTGTGAAGATCCGGGGTGCTTTAGGGGGGACTTACGCCACCCACATGGTGGCATCACATGCATGTGAGTTTAGTGCACGACACAGCAGCACAGAAGCGCTGCCTGCCTTGCAGAGTGCATACCTCACTGTGAGATCGTGCTGTGATTGGAAGGAGGAAGGCGGCGCTCCCTGAAATCCACACTGCAACAGAACAGTCTGCGCAGAGGCTGCCACACGTCGCTCACGTCCCGCATGGCTCGGCTGGACCGCGCCCGCTCCCTGGCGGCAGGCACAGCTGCTCCCGCCCCGCCCGCCAGCCCGCCCCGCTCCGCCCCTCCCGGGCCTCCACCCCTCCCTTCCCAGCACCCCAGCCCGCGCAGGGGCCGGGAGCGCCGAGCGTCGCCCACCGCGCGGGTGTCCCAGACCCCCACTCCGGGCACCCCGCCAAGCCAGGGCCTCCCACCTTCTCCGCACCCCAGCGGGTCCAGGGGCCGCGAGTGCCAGACGCAGCCCGCCGCGCGTGCACACCCCCTTCCCCCGCGTCCCGACTGTGTTGCGGGCAACACCCCCCCCACACCCCCTCCACCCCCTCCCCACCCCCCGCCGCTGCCCCAACCCTCTCCGGAGTCCCTGCTCTCCCTCCCTCCGACAGCTTTGCTGACTGTCTGGTTTCGGCGCTTGGGCAGCTGTTCAGAAACCCGAGTGCATTGCATTGGACTTGTTTTTCTGCAGTGGGAGCAAATGCCAGAGATGACACCCTATAACGCCCCAGGGAGAGTCCCACTCCACTCCTGAAACAAGAGTGGGCTGATCCAAAGAGAAAAACAGCTGCAGGCTAGTGCCCGGGCCCTCAGGAAAGTTGCTGGCCGGGGCTCGCTGGGGTCAGGGAGGGGAGCCTGCCGTGTGTGCATGTGAGAGTGGCTTGCACACTTGCACGCTTGCCTCTCCGGAAAGAATGAGTGTCCTTGCGTGCCTGCTACTTTCCCATGGGATGTTTTGCACACACGGGCAGGGCAGGGGACAAGGTGGCATTCTGTCAACCTCTAAGCTGGCAAACAGCTGTGGGTTTCAGCTCAGGGAGAGTGGGGTCCTCGATAGCGGAGGCACATCCCTAATGACCTGACCTAGAAAATGTGTCTGGCAGAGTCCGGTTCTGAGGGCACCAGGCAGACGAAGTTCCCTGCGGATCACTGGCCACCAGACTGCTCACTCTCCCTGCCTGTGTGTCCAGAATGCCTCGGGCTTGTGTGTCCCGTGGTGCAGACCAAAGACTTAAATTCTTCCTCATCACCTGCTGCACCTGATGAGGGGGCAGGCAAAGGGAAGTTCACTTAACCCGGCTAGGCTTCTGACATCTAAGTGCACACAAAGTGGGAAAACCTGGGGTTCAAGGAGGAATTCACACTTGAACATAAAGCACGGGCTAGGGTTCAGCTAGAACTAGTAAGGGCATTTGCAGCCTTGCTCAAGTGCATTAGGGTGGCATCCTTATGTGTTACCCTAATGTACTTGAGGACAAAATTGCTTCACTGCAAAACCGTTTATAAACAACCCCACTGCACCCGAATTCCAAGAAGGTACTAGTTCAGAGTTGAGACATCCTCCTAACTTTTCCCCTAGTTCTGCTAATGGCTCCAGCCTCAACTAACTTCCCCTGTCACTAGTCTGGTGATCATGCACACACTCCTTCAGAAAAGGCTGTTGAGGATATAAAAATTTCTCTGTGTCTTACAAACAGGACAGCTCCAGGTACGAGGGGAGATTCCATGGACACAATTAAGGCAAGACGGCACCTTCCAGGCTGGTCAGCCCCTTGTTTTGAGTAAAGGGAAGTTTAGAGATTAGAGGGCTTAAGGAACTCGCTCAAAGGTCCGAACCACCAGTTGGGAACTCTTCTCCCCCTCAGTTGACGCAGGCATGGGATAGTTCCCCGGAGGGCTTGTGATGGGCACTTGTGATGATTTTCTCCATGACATTCTCTTCCCTCTGTTGGCCAATGTCATCTACCCCTGACCCCCGCTCCCTGATGCTGCTAAACAGCCAGAAGCAACCCCACTTCTGGCCAGCTAGCCAGATTGAAACCTTTAAACCGTGCTATACGTATCCACCCCCTCCCCAGTGAGAGAATGAGAGAACAAGCTGTGGCAGGCTGGGAGCCATCAGAAGTTGTTAATTAGACACGAAGTGTCGTCATTTGCTCCTTTAACAATCCCATGTCTGAGAGAGTGAAGTGAGACACCAAATAAAACATTGGAATAAACCCTTACCTCACCATCCATCCAATAACAAGAGAGAGGGTGATTTTTTTTTTTTTCATGTTTGTCACTCATACGTGAACATACATGAACGGGAACGGAGACACCAATGCCCACACGACGCTGCATCGGTGGGTTGAAAACCCAATTCAGGGGCGCCTGGGTGGCTCAGTCAGTTGAACGTCCGACTTCAGCTCAGGTCATGATGCCACAGTTTGTGGGTTCAAGCCCCATGTCGGGCTCTGTGCTGACAGCTCAGAGCCTAGAGCCTGCTACAGATTCTGTGTCTCCCTCTCTCTCTGCCCCTCCCCCACTCATGCTCGCGTGCGCACTCTCTCTCTCTCTCTCTCTCTCTCTCTCTCAAAAATAAAAATAAACACTCAAAAAAAATTTTTAAGTCTTACTTTATGACTTCAAAATAGTTGTGCTTTTTAAAAGCCAGATATTCTGCAATCTAGTTAACAGTATTGTACCAACGTTAATTTCCTGGTTTGGGTATTTCACGAGGTCACAGAAGATGTCACCAATAAAGGAAGCTGGGTGAAAGGTTTGTGGGACTCTGTGAACTATTTTGTAATTCCTTATATTTCAAAATAAAAAGTTAAAAAAAATGTAAAATCAGTGACAGTTCAGTTCCCTCAAATTCTGAAAAAAGCAAAAAATGCCCAGATTGTGTAGCTCCAGGCATCGAGGGAGAAGAGAACTGGCAGAAAGGGAGTCAAGAACTCTGTGGCAGTTTGCACGCGGTCCTCACATCTTTGCTTCTTGCAAATGACACACATGTACACACAGAAATTTGCATGAATCCTGTACCCGTGGAAAAAATGGAATCAGGCTCAAGCTGTGTTTTAATTTAGGGGGAAATGATTCTATTTCTGGGCTTTGGAGAGATCCTTAGGAGAATATCCACGGGTCTGTAGTCTCTGTCTTTCTTAAAACAAAAGAAGGGAAGGACAGTCACGCAGAGGTCCGTTGAGGGCTCCAAGAGGTCCACCCTGACCCTGGCTTTCCCTGGGGGAAAAGCAGCACAAAAATAGGCGAGTACTTGAGAAGGTCGCTGCCCGTCTTGGGGTGCCCAGCATTTATTAGACACTCACAGCGGTGACAGTGTGTCAGATGCTCCAAGAGCAGGCTGCACTGGGATCTCAATGATCTGGGGTCCAGCCAGGCAAGAGGAGTGGGTGGGCACATAGCTGTCATCATGGTGTTCTGTGCCCAGCGTCACAATGAGTATTGCAAGAGAAAAAGCTCCCACGCCCAAGAGCTTGTAACTTAAGACCAGAGCAGGGAATATACATGTAGTAGAATAAAAGCAGGGAGCTAAGAGAGAGGTGGTAGGTGAGAGCCGGCCATGGGTAGGTCCGTCTGCGACAGTGAGAAAAGTCTGCACCTGATGGGGACACGTTAACTGGCAATTCCATGTTCATCTCGGGGTTCTTCCGTTTTTCTCCGAGTTCAAGAGGACACACGAAACAAAATCGACAGCTCTGATTTCTTCCTACACGCCACAAGTATTCATGGACAGCCGCTGCCCCACGGAGTCTAAGGACAAGTAAGATGCGGTCCTTGTCAGAACTATGATTTCACTTCTGAACGTCGCAGGGCCCACACAGCGTGCGCACACGCACACACACGCTCACTCATTCCTACCTTTTTTTCCTTACAGCTACTGAACCTGAGGTTCAGAAGTATTAAATTACTCGCCTGTGATCACATGGCTAATGAGCCGAGGAATAAAAAAACATGATCATCGACTAGCCTGGTATTCGTTCAACTTTCTCCAAACTCAATCACCTTCCAAGTGAGATTTCCTTCCCAGTAACGATGCCCATGGTAAAATCTTGAATCTGAGTGGCTTTGACGACGCTCTCAAAATTACTTAGTATTTGGCTATGATGTGGAAATAAGACGAAGAATCATCAAACAATGCCAGCCCCCCCGACCCTGGCCAAGAGTCACACACCTTTGTATTTCCGCAGGCACCCCACCTTTCCATGTAGGATAGGCTCGTGGCCGCCAGCACAGGAGAGTACATTTAGAAAGAGATGACAGTTTTGTGCAATAAAACTGCATCGGCCTTAAAAAAAATAAAAAAGAGGCAGAGGAGACCTTGGGGTGCTTGTGTACTTCTCCAAGGTTTTAAGAGGTCCTAATTTAGTAAAGGGAAAGAAGAAATACTCCTACATCTACATTATTCAAATTATTAGAGAAACCCCAAATTTCTATTGTTAATAATACATTTTTTTAATGTTTATTTATTTTTGAGAGAGGGAGAGAGACAGAGTGTGAGTGGGGGAGGGACAGAGAGAGAGGGAGACACAGAATCTGAAGCAGGTTCCAGGCTCCGAGCTGTCAGCGCAGAGCCCAACATGGGGCTCGAACCCACAGACCATGAGATCATGACCTGAACCGAAGTTAGACGCTTAACCGACAGAGCCACGCGGGCGCCCCAATAATAAACTTTTTAAATGTTTATTTATTTTTGAGAGAGAGAGAGAGAGAGAGAGAGAGAGAGAGAATCCCAAGCAGGCTCCGCATTGTCAGCGCAGAGCCCGATGCAGGACTCGAACTCATGAACTCATGAGATCATGACCTGAGCCGAAGTCAGACACTCAGCCAACTGAGCCCCCCCAGGCACCCCATTAATAGCATATTTTTACAGAATGGCTGCTTCATCCAGGTTGTCAATAGCATGACATCTCTATGAGGGCAGCGCTCCCCTAGGGCCTACAATCGTAGCTTACGACTTTCTAGCGGTAAAAAGAAACAGGTGAAACTACTATCAGTTATATGTTTTAGTTAACTAAAATCACAGATCCCAAACATTGTCATTTCATCATGTTGTAACAAATTGAGGTGTTTTACATTCCGTGTTTTAGCCTACATCTGCGACCACCCTTCCAGATACCTAGAGTAAGAACCATCCCAGGAAAGAGGAACAAAGGCTCTAGGAATAGGGAGCTTGATCTGGGGTAGGGCCGGGGCGAGTGGGGTGGAGGTGGGGGGTGGGCCCAGAACCAGGCGGCAGGATACGACCCGCTAGGGCAGGGAGGCCATATCCATGAACACATTCGTGTTCACGGATGTAGCCATCCTGGGTGTCTGGACCAGAGACACGTCCACGGTGAGCTCTCGGCAAACACGGGTTGACCGAATGGAAATGCGTTTGAAGAGTGGCCTTTGGTTGCTGTGCTAAGAACAGGTTATAGCAGGCAGGCAATGATCTTGGGATCATTGGAATAATCATAAGTTTCAAAATCCCTGGTCTGGATTCATAAGGAAGAGGGGGTGAATGAGAGCTTAAGAGACAGGCCCCTGCATGGAGATATGTTTCAAACAACTTGGCTCACAATTCCTCTTCCCTCCCTCCCCCAGATAGTGTTTATCCTTGCAAAACTGAAAGAGGAGGGCAGACCAGAAAGCTTTATTCTGGAAAATTCCTCTCAAAGGCTTGAAAACAAGAGGCGGGGGGCAGAAAAAGAGCTGGATGTTGGAACCCGTAACTGAGCCAAATGAAGCGGGAAGGGGCCCTCATATCACGAAGAAAGCTATCGTCTGCAGTGAGAATAACTTCATGGATAATTCACTGAGGAACTGATGTCCCGGGCTGTTGAGGCTCTATGAGTGGCCATACCAGTCACCCCCACTTTCTCCTTCCTCTGTTCCACCGTGCACACTAGCCTTCTAATTATCACTCGCCTTCTCTCGCAGAGAGAACCACCACTTACCTTCTCTCACAGAGCATTTCCTGGCGAGCTGCCTTGAACGTTCTACCCCAAGCAGTAGTTGCCACCTAATCCTCTTGGAAACGTACCAAGCGGGCAATCTATATTTATATACCGCTGTCTTGCCAGCTCGGTTTGTGACTCGGTCTCCCAAAGCTGGGCCCTCTCTGGATGCGCTGCTAAAACCCAATTCTACAGAGAAGCATCTGAGGACCCGACCCTCGGCCACACAGGCCCATGCAGGCAGAGCCAGCCACCCGAGAGGGCACGGCTGAGGGGCCGGCCCGTTCTCAGCCTCACACCTCCATCTGGCCTCTTTTCATTATAAGCATGGACATATGCCCTAGGACACTCGTGGCTTTGTTCCTTGCCAGAATAGTTTCCCAATGACAGCATTTTATAGACACAAAACAAAGAGAGGTTGAAGAAAACATCCAGAAGGGTAGTGAGACCCGGATAAACTGACGCGACATCTCTGGGTAGACCCACTGTGGGGCAGGGAGAAACCATGGCTGCTATGAACCCCTGATGTCTCCTGTCTAAGGGTCTTCTACGACCCTCGTGACACTTTCTCCCATGTCGCAGGTGAAAACTCCCCTCTGCTAAGAAAAAGACCAGGTGACTTCCCGAAGGTGAGAGATGTTGACAGTGTATCACTGGATAAACGAACACAGGTCTGTTGGAGGAGGACATGTTACACATCTCCTGGCGCTGAGGTTGTTTTTGACAGTTCAGGCTGTTTCTTCATCGGTGAGAAAACCATTACTCAGCCATCAGTCATGGTGGGTAAGAGGGCAGGGATGCCAAGAATAGCGTGCAACCAGCTGGACGGTGACAAAGCCTGCGAAGGAGGCCCTCGGCCTGGCAGCTTTCACCGGCCGTGGCAAGCTCACGACAATACGGCTGTTCGCCAGATGCCCGTGCTATTTACAGCTTCCAGGGGCACAGCGGTGCCAGCAACCCCCTGATACAGAAGGCTGGACGTGCACCCAGCCGCCCGTCACCCGTGTCTGGGACAGTATGCACGGCCTACCTGGCCCCCGTCTCCCGTCCGTCCCCCAATGCCAGTCACCTCTTTACGTAAAAAGACAGCGGGCGTACCGGCAGTATTCGCAACAGCCAGAAGTCCAAGCGTCTGTCTGCAGACGACTGGATAAACAAAGCGCGGTCCATCCACAGGGTGGAATATTATTCGGCCATGAAAAGGAGCAGAGTGCTGAAGCACGCTGCGACACGGATGGGCCTTGAAACATCACCGTCACGGATCGGAACTGTGTTCTCCCAAAACTCGTATGCTGAGGGGCGCCTGGGTGGCGCAGTCGGTTGAGCGTCCGACTTCGGCTCAGGTCACGATCTCACGGTCCGTGAGTTCGAGCCCCACGTCGGGCTCTGGGCTGATGGCTCAGAGCCCGGAGCCTGCTTCCGATTCTGTGTCTCCTTCTCTCTCTGCCCCTCCCCCATTCATGCTCTGTCTCTCTCTGTCTCAAAAATAAATAAAAACGTTAAAAAAAATTAAAAAAAAAAACTTGTATGCTGAGCCCAAGCCCCCAGTACCTCACCACGTGACTGGATTTGGACCCAGGATCTTCAAAGAAGTTAAATGAGGTTAGGGTGGGCCCCAAGCCGACCTAAGTCCTCTGTGAGAAGAGGCAGTTTGGACACGCACAGGGACTCCAGAGAAAAGACCATACGGGGACACAGCAAGGCAGCGACCATCGACAAGCCAAGGAGAGAGGCCTCAGGAAAAAGCAAACCTCAGCCTGGACTTCCAGCTTCCAGAACCGTGGGAAAATTAATTTCTGCTGGTTAGGAGTATTTTGTTATGGCCACCAGGGCAAACTAACACAATTATGCTAAAGGGAAGGAAACCAGACACAAAAAGTCATGTACCATATGACTCCACTGACATAGAATCTCCAGAATTGGCAGATCCATAGGCACAGAAGGCAGATTTGTGACTGCCGGGGCAGGGTGGAGGGGAGAAGGGGGAGGGACTGCTTAATGGGGACGGGGCTTCCTTGAGGAGTGATGAAAACATCCTGGAGCCAGACACAGGCGATGGTTGCACCACACTGCGAATGTGCTAAATGCCACTCAACCATGAGCCGTAAAACGGTTGGTTCTATATTATGTGACTTTAACTGCTGCCAACCCCATCTATACCGGGCTGCAGGACCTCCCTCTCTGGACCTCAGTGCCTTCATCTGATGGGCCATCTACATGGTCGCTCAGTCTCTCATTCTCCAACGATCCCAATTGTTCTCGATGAAATAGAAACTTGATACTAATTACTAGACTAGAAACAGCTCAAAGCAGGGACAGTGGTTCATCCCTGTATCAGCGGAACCTACCAAAGCATCGGGCACGTACGAGGTGTTCGATATCTGTGTGTTTGTGGAAGAGTGGTCTGACTACGATGACCCAGTGTGGCTCACATCGTGGACTGGAAGGGGTCCACTCCAGGAACCACAGGGCCCGGACATGGGCGACGGCCACACGATGTGGCAATCCGTTGCTCCATCTGTAAAATGAGGGTAACACCTGCCTGTCTACCTTGAGAGGTGCTAATGAGGATCGAATCAGATATGAACAAAACGCTCTTGGAAAGACTGCAGTCCTCCACGGCCATCCAAAGACCAGAATTTCTGAGAAGTTCTGGCCCACCCCAAGGTGGATGATTAAGATGTCTGAACAGACTTCCTCTAACCTTGACTGCTCTGGAATCTGGTCTCCATCCCTCAGTTTCCCCAGCAGATAGACTACATCTCTCCCGCCCCCAACCCAGCACCCACACAAAATGGGGGCAAGGGCCCTAGT